ATTTACCAATCTATTGACATGACTAAGTTTAGAGCATAGCTCTGACACCATGTTAGATGAACCTGACTCTCTACAACGGTATGATATTGTCCAATTTGAGCATAAGCTCTCATGGCTTTACTTTGGGTTTTTCCAAAAGGCCCTCGTACCAATAGAGAGAATATTATTTGATTATAAACCCATGATCATTCCCTAAACTAGCTGAGGTGGGAGTTTCATCATCCAACTTATTGCTACGGGTATGATATTCCTCCAACCATATATCCTCATAAATCTATGCTTCAACATTATATAGACAGCAGAAAGTAATTTCCTCACATGCAAAGAATCAATTTCAAATAGCCACGCATGTTCTATCCTTTTTGGGAAAGGGATCAGAAGCGTAGCTGTGAAAATAAATGATGAAAGATCTTTCTTCTTCTGCTTTGATTTCCCAGAAGGAAACTAAGAATGGAGAGAAATTAGATGGATGAATGAAGAGGATCATGAGATTTATTCTCCATGCTCAAGTATCATTGGAAATATCAATCTTTCTAATTTGCATCTTAGTTCATGTCGATTACGATAATCTTCAAAAGTTTAAAAAAAAAAGACATAAAACACCAAAAGCATGTACAAAATCAAATACCTTGTCCGGGTAAAACTTCTTCCTCACGGTCAGGAGTAGCCAATTTAGGAAAGAGCCATGCACCTGCCCATTGAAAAAATAGCTTAACTCAGTAATCCTGGTAAGATCCATTTGACAACATACACAAACATATATGATAAACTACCCTTTATCCTTGACTGTTTCCAAAGGCCAAGACAATTTTCAAAAGGTCCCTTCCCTCTATTTATGAAAACATTGCAAACAGAGATGAAACAATTACATGATTCCAAGTCAACTCCCGCATAACCTTCACAGTGATGATTAATCTTAACACAAAAGCTAAAGTGTGTTTTTTATTTTAAGCCTCAATCAGCATGTGCCACCGGCATCCTTAAGGGAGACGCTTTTCTTTCAATATCAGTAAGTGGCAAAACCATTGATGGCAACAGTTTTCACACCTATCGAGAATTATTTTGAAACGGCCCAAACCCACCGCTAGCAAATATTGTCCTCTTTGAGCTTTCTCTTTCGAACTTTCCTTCAAAATTTTTTAAAACAGACAAAAACATGTCTGTTAGGAAGATGTTTCCACACCCTTATAAAGAATGTTTTGTTCCCCTCTCCAACCGATGTGAGATCTCACAATTTACCCCCCTTCGAGGCTCAACATCCTCGTTGGCACATCCCCTGATGTGCACTCTCTTTCGGGGTTCAGCGTCCTTACTGGCACATCGCTCAGTGTCCAACCCCTTTGGGGCTCAACATCTTCGCTAGCACACGTCCTGAGGTCTAGCTCTAATATCATTTGTAATGACCCAAACTCACCGCTAGCAGATATTGTCCTCTTTGGACTTTTTCTTCCGAGTTTTCTCTTAAGGTTTTTAAAACGCGTTTGTTAGAAAGATGTTTCTACACTCTTATAAATAATGTTTTGTTCCCCTCTCCGAGGGACGTGGGATCTCACATATTTTAAAGGAGTCAACTGCTGCAGTACAGTTTGAACCATACAACATATATCAGATAAGAATGAGAAACGCACCTATAGGGGCGAGGAAACTGAGGCAAGAGGTGCATCTGAATCTATCAACCGGAGAAGGAATTGGTTTAGAAACAGTATTATTTACCCATTCCCTTTCACGTATAATCACCTTCGTGACACAAGCGTGACAGTTAGGACAGTAGAAATTATGCGAGCTGGGTTTCTCATATATCCTTCCAAGATATAAATCCGCCACTTGAGTTCCATTTTCTGACCTCAACTCCACTCTTTTATATGAAGCCTGCTCCTCAATTTCCCCCTTGGATGGTTGATTAGAAACAGCTGAAGGGATCTGATCATGCTGGAACTTGATCCCAGTGCCATTTAGCGAGCCTGTTTTCCTTGTGCTGATAGCTTCAATCTCATCAGTGGGGCTTACTTCAAAAAAAGCATGACGATCACCATCGACTTTCAACCGAGAAGATCCAATAGAGCATCCAGTACCTGAAGTTACAATAAGAAATCATAAAACAGGAAGGAAACATCGAATTTCCAAATGAATACCCAAATTTGGTACCAAAAATATAATAAGAATCACATAACTTCAGCAGAGCTTTTCATTCAAGTTCTTCCCATAGATCAATGGCAAGAAAAACAAATTTCCCATCATTCAACAGTTGCATAATTGACAGAATTAAAAGGCTCCTGCAATTTGTTTGGGTGGATAAAATTGACTGAGGGTTCTGTTCTTGATTGGTTACAGAATCCAACTCCTATCCTAGGGAAAGAATCCATACAGTAAAAATTCAAATCCTAAACGTTCAAGAGCTCTGGTTAGTCTAAAGAACCCAATTACGCTTGCTGCAAGTTACTAGCAGAAAGAACAAATTGCAGGAGGATTTTGACATAGGACGGGACCCAGTTCTAAATTGTCGGTATCTCTGAGTTCTGAATATGTTGCTAAAACATACAAGAAAATTAAAGAACATTAATGATTGATTATTATTAACGATGACGACGTGTTACTTATTTTGTTCTGCAGAAAAGTTTTCGTAAAGTTAATACTGTAATTAAGAGAATTAATTATTAATTAAGCAACCTAACAAATCAGAACAAAACAAAACGAACTGTGGCGATCACTTTCCCTTCGTCGAACACGTAGTCTTCGTCTTCTTCGCCAAGATTTACGGAATGAGAATTGGTTAATTAAAAGAAAGGAAATCGAGTAGATCCACGAATTTAGAAAGTATTTGAAGGAATAAATTTAACTGTGTTTTCGCCTAATGAAGCTTCATTTTGGCCTCCTGTCGTGATAACAGTAGCGCAACAATGGCGATCGATTCCACGCCTCTAAGCCTCAAATTCCAGTTTCAAATGGCGACTAAAGTACATTTCAAGAACGGGAGAAGAACAAAGAAATCCAAACAGCGATGAATAATTTGCCGAAACTTACATTGTTCTTGTTGTTGTTCATCTCGAACGACGAATTTACGTCCCTCGGAATACTCGGAGAACGTTTCGTCGCTGTCAGTGGATGAGAAGCTAGACTGAGCGCGTCGACGAAATTTCTTCCTCCGTAGCAAAACACTTGGTTCCTCGTCATCCTCCCCCGTCGTCTCTGTTTCCACCTCCGGCAGATGCTTATCTCTGTTCATCGGAGGCGACGAACTCCGGTAGCTGGAACAGAATCAATGTAGGAAGTTCGTTTCAGAGTCCAATGCATATACTGAATCTTTTTTGTTTCTTGTTTTCTTTGAGTTTCAGGCGTCGATAACTAACTATCAACATTTGGTATAATTATAGTTTAATTAACTAATTATAATTAATCTCTCGTTTAATTATCCAAACAAATTCCATCAAATTTCACCTTATCGAAAAGGAAAACCAAAAGACGAGAATATCTGTTAGCGGTAGGCTTGGGCTATTACAAATGCTATCAGAGCTAAACACCGGGCGATGTGCTAGGACGTTAGACCCGAGAGGGGGTGGATTGTAAGATCCCACATCAATTGGAAAGAGAAACGAGTGTCAGCGAAGACGCTAGGCCCCGAAGGAGGTGATTGAGGAGAAGACCGAGCGGGCTTGTGCAGTTATATTATATATATTTATTAAAAATGATTAATGAAATATTTAAGAAATGATGTTTGAGACGAAGACTATGAAATGACGTCCCTACCCGATAGTTATATGCAGTCAGCCGTTGTTCTTGCCTTTTGCTTACATTCCCAGATACACCAATTTCAATTTCTCAAATCTTGCTTTCAAAACTCTCTTTCGAAATCTCTCTGCCCCCGTTTTCTAATCTTGAACCGGGGCCAGAGGCTCGAGCATACGTCGCTTGGCCGCAGGCGACGAAATAACGAATAGACTTAACTCACTTGCTGCTGGGAAGTGAGTGTCGCACAATCGCAAGTCCATTGCCATCAAAGTGCGATTGCGACAAGTGGTTCATGTTTGTCCAAGGCGTGTTACCTATGGTTACATGTTTGTGACATCCTCCCCCACTCAATTGGTTGACGTCCCTGTCAACCGACTCAAACAAGCAAAACTAGGACATCTGTCATGCGGCCATAATCAACATGCTTTGGACAAGCATGACCATGACATCCTCCTTGTCAACCGACTCCGACAACTAAGACTGGGACATCTGTCATGCGGCCATAGACAACATGCTTTGGACAAGCATGACGGTGACATTGGCTCGTGCGGTTACATTATACATATTGATTAAAAATGATCAATGAAATATTTAAGAAATGATGTTTGAGACAAAGACTACCAATGGCGTTTTATGACAGGTTGGATTATTTACTCTTTGTTATTTTTTTTAATTACATTTTTTAAAATTTAAAATTTATTTTTTTAAAAAAATCATATTTATTAATACTTTTTCTAAATAAAAAATTTGCATTCCACGTATGAAATTATCTTCCCACTATATTCAACTCTAATTTTTGTCAATTTATAAAAACTTTATCCATAATATATCATAATATATTTCGAGAATCTTCTTCATGAAATAAAATAATATTTAATAATTTAAATTTTATATTTGACTTAAATAATTAAGATACGAAAATGATTAGATATTTTTAAACATTATTTTAGGAGCGGACGAACTAAATTAATATTTATATTTATTATTACTATTATTTTGTATCATATTCAAAATATCTCTTTTTCATGCATGTAAGTTACTCGTCCTGTCATTTTCAAAAGTTTAAAATAAAAAGTCATACATAAAATTCAACTCGTGCGACATAACCTTATCCAAACAAGTTGGTAGCGGTAACATGGTTGTAGTAGTTAAGAAATCTTTGTCCACAAAGGTTGTTTAAAGAGTATTTAAATGTCAATGATTAATAGGGTATGCTAGGTGGCCAGTTGTTTTTACGCTATAGTTTATTAAAAAACATGGAAGTATTTTAATGCTAGTTGGTGAGGCTAAGTGATGTTCTTATGTTCTTGGACACACTTGAAGGAGGAAGAAAGGAAGAGCTTGGAGTTAGAGCACGACAGGTATGAGTTTACTTTTTCTTGCTTCGGAAACAGCTACTCGGAAAGCATCTATTTCAATAACTTTGAAATTTTTATCTGTGTCTGTTCCCGGGAGCTTTAAGCGCGACTGGGTGCTTTATTCTCCTCTTATTCTTCGTTGGATGGTTTGAAAAGGATGTCTCTTATCGAGAGGTCGATTCGTTTTCTGCCCCCAATGAGATGGTGTGAGATTCCATATCGGTTGGAGAGGGGAACGGAACATTTTTTATAAAAGTGTGGAAACCTCTTCCTAGTAGATGTGTTTTAAAACCGTGAGGCTGACGGGGATACGTAACGAGTCAAAGTGGACAATATCTACTAGTGGTGGGCTTGGGCTGTTACAAATGGTATCAGAGCCAGACATCGGGTGGTGTGGCAACGAGGACGCTAGAGTTCCAAGAGGGGTGGATTGTGAGATCCCATATCGGTTGGAGAGGGAAACGAAACATTCCTTATAAGGGTGTGGAAACCTTTCTTAGTAGACACGTTTTAAAACTGTGAGGCTGGCGGCAATATGTAACGGCTAAAGTGGACAATATTTGTTAGCGGTGGGCTTGAACTATTACAAACGATATTAGAGCCAGACATCGGGCGGTGTGCCAGTGAGGACGCTGGCCCCCAAGGGAGGTGGATTGTGAGATCCCACATCGGTTGGAAAGGGAAACGAAACATTCCTTATAAAGGTATGAAAACCTTTTCCTAGTAGACGCATTTTGAAACCGTAAGACTGACAACGATACGTAATGAACCAAAAAAGACAATATCCGTTAGCAGTGAGCTTGAGCTGTTACAGATGAGGAATCAGTAACCCATATTTCGTTTGACCCTTAATTTGCTTGTTTAATTACATTAGAAAAATGAATAAAGTCTCACATCGACTAGATAATAGAATACGAGGTCTAAACAGAAAAATCACATACATGAAAACATCTGTTGTTGCAGGAGGCACGAAGGGTACAATGGATCCATTGACGTTCTTCCAATGGTTATGCTGCGGGTGGACTTGCGTGAGAGAATGTTGTACGTTTCGATGGGTTCATCATCATTCATGCTTGAATAAACGTGACCAAATTACTCATAATTTTTATAAGATCGTTCTAATCACTTGGGACGTTCCATAATTCAGGTGCTTGTTGTGGATGTCTAGATCCAAACCCAGGTGACGCCGGTGATCGTAATGGTACGTATTGGAGGATTTTATGTTTATGGAGAGATGGAGCCATTGATCTTTAAAATATTAATTAGTTTAAATTATAATTATGATTAACGAATAATAATAATGAGAAAAATACATTTCAGGTTCACAAAATATATCGATAAATAATATATGCAACAACTGCTGGAGACATTGCAATATGTGCTTCTACGGTAATAATTCCTTATAATAATATATTATTATTATTATTATTATTTCATATATTCTTTAATTATAATAAATAATTTTCAAATTTTTATTATTCAGGAGCATGTAGGTGCTGTAATTGCTGTGGAGGTACATAATTCAATTTTTAATTTATTTAATTCCTTAATTAGAATATTTAATTGTGTAATTAATATTCAAAATTCTCACACTAAAATATTAATTTCTAAATATAATAACATTTATTAATATTGAAATTTTTTTAAAAAAGGTAGGGCTCTATTTTTTAGTTGACTTTATAAAAAAAAGTCAACTCACCCACTGAGTCGAACTTTTTGATTTTTTAAAAATTCAACCCAACCCAAACTGAAAAAATATCTAACTCAACTCAACTTTTATGATTTGGGTTGAGTAGTCCGAGTTAGTCGAGTTATCGAGTTATATGAACACTCATAATATGTACTGACTATATCTCTTTCTTTTATGTTTACTAGATCAAAGAACCGATCAATCTCATTCTAGAGTTGAGAAAAACAACGACAAATCTCTTCAAGCTAATAACAATGGAGCTCAACCGAATGAAATCATCCCAGTTCAAGGTATGATCGAACTTTATTATTTGATGGGTAGACTCAATCGTCCTAACAGTAAATAGCGTTTGAGAAATTTTATGTCAATTCGAGCATAACTCAATGGATAAGATATCGATTACCATTTAGACTGTTCTAGCACGACATGAACATATTTTGATGCAGGCAATGGTATAAATCCGGAGATAATCGGGGATAACAACGAACTTGAATTGAATGTAGTTCATATGCATTCTTCAAAATCTCACTTAGATCTTCCTTCCCTTGACCTCAAAAGTGGCAATCAAAATGGTGTGTATCAATTTTCTCTAGTGATGAAATATTTTGAAAAAATTGAATACTTTGTAATATATAATATGTTTTTTTTATGCAGATCTAAATTTCAATCCAAAAATATTAGGTTCGGGAAATAAAATTAAAGTCAATGTTGCTAGAATGTATCCGTGGAAATCTTTTCCAGAATCACGCTCACTAAGTACGTTTCGATAAGATTTGAATGTGATTGTCAGATCGTGCTTTGATATAATGTTTTGTTTAAGTATGGATGAATCTAGGTAGTTGGTCAAGTCCGAGAATTTTAGAGATTAGGAACGTGAAAATACGAAAGAAGAGGTTGGCCAACCCATAGCAGACTCATGGGTCATGAATGACAACACCATGGGTCGGCTACGACCTTATTTAGTTGACCCACACGTGGATGGCAAAAGACCTAGTTGGACTATGAAATAGACCCATATTAACTTGAGGGAGAGGTATATAGGGAGATGCATGATGTTAGCTCTTCGTTACCCCTAGGTTTCGTGACCTAAGTGAGCTACCTCATGATACATATGTGTTTCAAGGTGTGGACGAACATGGCAAAACAAGGGTTTTGAGTGTTTTCTCTTGGAATGGATTTTTTAGGACAGTATCGAACGACACGAGTGTGCCAATATTACGCCCTTGCCCTCTAGTGGGAGGTTAGTATATGGGGTCGTTTCCCAATATGTTATCCATAAATGACTCGATATGGACACGGGAGGGTTCATACCTTATTAGTACACAGATGGATGGATGTTTGGGACCTTTTGATAATAAAATTGACTCATGAATCAGTTCTTGATAACGAAGACAAACAACATCTTCAGACTTGGGATGACATTACATTGATGTTGTCAAAATACGAATGTTAGTTATTCATAGCCGATGTTTTCGTCCTTAAAGCAACACACTAAACTAAACGATGTATCTTTCAAGTTCATGAATTATAGAACAAGATCGTTATGATACCCTTTTTTAACATGTTTTTATGATAATCTATACTTTGTTGTAGGAAATTATGGAGCAAATTGTTAGAAGATTGCAAGAACAAAACCGGAAAACAACACAAGAACAATTACCTGTATTACCTGTATTACCTGTATTACCTATATTACCTATATTACCTGTATTACCTATATTACCTGTCCAAACCATTTGCAAGAAAATAAAGAAACCAAGCATTGTTCATATGAATCCCCACGTGGGTTTTACAAAGTTCATATTAGAGAGCAACAAAGTGCGAGCCAAGTGGCTCAAGAAGCTTACCAAGCACCTTGCCTCCTAAATAAGACAGGCCAAAGACCCCTAACCCTAGAACAATGTAACATACTAGGGTTATGACATACTTATGCAACGGCTTCCGAACATAAGCTTTCGCGATGGCGAGTAGCGCAATACATAGAAGCGAGATGGCACCCACAACGGCGAGTTTGAGATTGTTGTCGTCGGTGTGGCGGAAGGAGAAGCTGTAAACCAGAGGAGGCAGAAGCCCGATGAGTAAGAATGATAGAATGATGGCAGAGTAGTGAAGAAGATAATTCTGCCTGTCGCCAAAGGCTTCCTCGTATGGATCGACTTGTGGTCGTTTTCTTCGGTATGGGTATTTCATGGGTTGATTCGACTTTAGCGTAGAGAACTGTAAAATTACATTTCCCATAGCACCGGTAAATACTTTCTAAACAACCTAGTTTTCAAGGTCAAAGATGTTTAAAAAATCAGTTGACCTAAATAATCAGATCCATTCGGGTTAATATTTTACTTTTATTAAAAACATAAATTTAATTAAATGATCAGTCAACCCGAACCAACTCAACCCAAAAACTCTATAGTTGAATTGAAAATTTTTATAACTCGAACAATTGGGTTAGATCTAAAAAATATCTTAACCCGACCTAAATCAACCCACGAGCACTTCTTAAACTCTGTTTAAATTTGAGAGTATAAATCAAAGTAAAACGTGTTTGACTTACATTTTTTGTGAGGACAATAAGACCGATAATCATGTTTGCCAATGCTAAAGCCCCGATAATCTCTGCAAATTGTACATACCAAGTTTAATATTACACGACCATTCCTCTACAAAATTACGATAATAAAATAATCAAATGATCCGAAACTCGTCCATTATAATTTTACCTATTGGAATATTGGCACTTGCTGCGGAGGTAACGATGCCTAGGCTCGTGATTGCTTCGGTTAATCCTCCGTACACAATGCTCTTCACTATCTCGAAACAACGCCTAGGCTCGGGGCGATTTGATACAAAGGTCATATACACATTGCCTCTGCATTCAACGGAAATGCAACAGCTTTCTGAATCTGTATCATACCGAGGCTGCAGCGTCGACATCAGGTCTGGTGAACAACTAGGCGGTGGCTCGGTTGATTCTCTGGCAGCCGAGATCAACGACCGCGACGGAGGGTTGCGGAGAATAATCACTTTAGTTATGCTTGATTCGCAGTTGGCGCAGTAGAAGTCGTGAGAATTGGGTAACTCGTACAGCCTTTGATTTTCAACATCGGTGTCGGTGTCGGAGTCGGAATAAACTTCATCGCTATCAGAAGACGAAGTTCGGCTCAGCTTCATCGCACGTGACTTACTTTCTCCAGCAGCCGGCGTCGGTTGATTCTCCGTTTCCGCCGCCACCAGCCGATCTATAACGGCTTCCATTATGAGAAAGCTGCGGTGTGCTACGGTGGCCGGAGAAAGGGTGGAGCTTAAGGTTGACTGTATCCGAGAATGGTGGAAGAGGAGCCATTTTATTGGCGTTCAGAGTGTGAAAGAGACCAACGTGGGTTTTTAAAAATTTGAAGCTTCACATGTTGTCGTTTTTTCTGTTCTTATTTTTTTATAAACATGAAAAAAATATATATATATATTTAAACTAATTTATAATTATATTAATTTCAATCTCAATAATTATCGATTAATTTATGAATGTGTTTTGTGTTATAAATTTTATATAGGTTTTATTATATAATTTATGTGAGATCCAGATCAGTCAGGGGAACGAAACATTACTTATAAATATGTGAAAATCTCTCCCTAACAAACGCGTTTTAAAACCGTGAAGCTGACCACGATACGTAATATATGACAATATTATAGCTTATATCGAGACTCTTTTTCCAAACAATTTTATAGGTAAAAGCGGTGAGACCTAAATATTTTAATGAATTCAAGTATTTTAAAATTTTTAATTTTACGACCGATATATTCGACTAAAATATTATAAACTTGAATCCTTCGGCACAACCACAAAAATTTTAAAGTTTGTTGGGCTACGTGATGGATTGATATGAATAATTGGCCTATAAGTTAATGGACTCGACCTCTAAAAGGATGATTTATATCTAATTTAATAGGTTGGGTCGGATCGGTTAAACTTTAACGTTGAGAGATAGCCCATATTGAATCAAGCTGGCTAAGTCTTTGTCTTTAGGCCAAGACCAAAATGACTTGGGACTGCTGATTATTAAGGACATGACTCTGATACCGTGTTGAAAATCACGAACCTCTACAATTATATGATATTGTTCACTTTGAGTATAACTTCAGATGATTTCACTTTAGGTTTCCCAAAAGGTCTCGTACAATTCTCGATACTGTAGTTATATGTGTTAGTAAGTGGATTGGCCCAATTATCTCAGTTCCTTGATGGACTGATCCGAATAATCGGCCCAGAAGTAAACGGGCTCAACTTCAAAAGACTTATATCTAATTTAATAGATAGTTATATCGTGTCAGATCGGTCAAACTTTAACTCAACGAGATAGACCATATTGAATCAAGCTAGTCAAGCTTTGTCTTTATGCCAAGTCCAAAATGACTCGGGACTACGAACCTCTCATTAACCCGATAAGTTCAAAAACTAAAATGATTTAAAAAAAATATATAAATGGAAAATAACATTTTAATTAATGAATTAAAATATAAAGAGAGTTTTAAAATTAACATAAATATAAAAATATATAGAAAAATTAAAGTAGGTAGGTAATAAATTTAGTTTTCAGTTAAAGAAATAAAAAAAATAATAATTATGAAAATTGGCTGGCAGTCTTAAATTTTATGAGAAAATTTGGTCCTTTTTTCGGTTTGAAATTAATTTCTACATGTGACGCCATTATTATATTACCTTATAAATATTTTTAAATAATTTAATTAATTATATACTGTCAATATATAATACAAAATTTAATAATATTTTTATTAAATAAACGAAAAAAGATTTTATTTTTCATTTATTTTTTTTAAATAATTGTCAAATGGTTTACAAATATGAAACGTGCGTTTCATAGGGAATATTCGTTCCGAGAAGAAAATAAATTAAAAAAAAAAAGCATATTCGATAATGCAAAAATAAATAAATAAAATCCACGTAGGATTGTCCTTTCCCATTACTTTTTGTATTATTCTTTACCTAACCTTCCATCCACCAAAGGGCTTTGCTTTTATTCACTTCGAAGCATTACTTCTCTATTGGGTAATTTGGTATTTTCACCTCAAAATTGTTACTTCTCGGTAATTTCGTGACCGCTCGTTTAATTACTTTTTTACTTTTATCGTGCACGTTTGTCGTTTTCTTAATTTTGCTCAGGTTCATTTTAAGTATAGAGGGCGTTATTTTTCATTTTTCTATTTTTCGAATCTTCCCGAGCTACTATCTCGAAGTCGTGGAATCTCACTCGGGTTTATTCTAAGTATAGAGAGAGCTTTCTATTTTACGGATCTACTCGAACTACTGTCTCAAAAACACAAAAGGTAAATAAGGTGTGTATTAAAGAAAAATATTATTAGTAATGTTTACCGACTAAATGCATGTTTTTATATATATTCTTTCAAATTTATGGGTGTCAGAAAAAACAACCTTAGTCATACGCTAACTTTAAAAATAAAAAAAAAAACATTATCTACGGAGAATTTAGCTGAAGTGTAGTGTTTTTTCAATGATAGGGACAGTCTGAAAATCAAGTTAAATGGTCCAGGGCTGCTCCGAATATTTATGGAGTTAGTTAGTAGACATCGATTACGATGCATGTTTGAATGTTATAATGAACGTAATTCTTTTAAAATTGAATTGACCGTTTCATGTTCATGATTTGAAATTTAGATTTGATGCAATATGACTGTGTTTACCTGTGGGTCAAGTTTACATAGGATTGTTTCACACCGCGTAAGCTGGAGTTTCTATGTTCGAGACACTGAATGGGTAATAACTATCAGCTCATTCTCGTTAGAATCTGCTCTCGGTTCATTTATGTACGTCTTATTTTATTCAAATATTATAAAATTTTAAATAAACTAAATTTTGCGAAAATTGGTTAGTGGTCGGCGACTGAAGAGTTAAATGTGATAAGACTAGACAGTGTTTGAATTGTTTGTATGAAGTAAAGACATGAATTGCCATGTGCATCGTGTTTTTCAATGCTACCGACCCCACGAAGCTCAAGTGGCAATATGGTTATTATGAATAGAAAACAAAACTTTATCTTAATGACGAAGAAAATTGTGCTAGTCTCAAATATTGATTATTGGTCGAAGATCATAATGAATAGAATTTTTTTTTGTCATATTCATAATTTATATGAAATTAAAGAAATAATTTAACGACATATGTTACAAAATAGTTTTAAATAAATTAGAGTTTTACGAAGATTGATTAGTTGGTTGAAGAGTTCATATTGTCGTGTTGTGACGTCCAAATCAATAATTTTGGGATAAAATACGAGTGGATATAAATATAATTTCAAAGATTCGACGATCAAGACTTATGGAAAGTTATGTGAGCGTATTTGAAATATTAAATATTTATAGTTAATAGACGAGATTTATCTATAACAACAACCATTTATATTCACGAATATTCGTTTTTTTCAAATAAAATAAATAAATAAAAGAGATTTATTATTATTATTATTATTATTATTATTATTATTATTATTATTATTATTATTATCTTGCATTCTTAAAATTCAACTATTTTTGGAGTGGAGTAAAATAATTATCTTATTTTTAATAAATAAATAAATAAAAAGTGAGCTATTCTCTAATATATGAAAATGATAATTAAATAAAACATTTTTTTAATTATATATATATATGTATATCTGTTTCTTCAAAGTCAAAAAGAATAAAAGTCATGCCTGTTTTTTTTTTTCCTTTTATAAAATTATTATTTCATTTTTTAAATTTTGAATTAGAATTAATATATTATATATATATATTAATTGCCATTCAAAATCTCCTTTGACCGTTCATAGATTGCTGCCCACGCCACCGACTCTTGTTTCTTGGGTTGGTTTGTTTGTTTTTGTTTTTTTTGTTTAATAATAATTAATAATAATTTAATCTTTGATAATTATTTTAGGTTTTATTTATATTTTAAAATTAACGTTTGAAAATGATATATACTCTTATTTTAAAACTAAAAATAATAGTTTTTTTTAACCAAAAAAAAAAATGTTTTTAAAATTTTGAATGAATTTAAAATAAATTGTTATTTATATTAAGAAAAACTATTTAATTCCTTAATGTTAATTTTTCCATCAATTATTTAACAAGCTTTTGCATGTATTTAAAAAAAGATTCGCATATTCTTAATATTCCTATTATTTATTTTTATTTTTATTTTCAATTATGTAAAATTTTCTTTTAATTAAAATTATTAAATAAACATTAATAATCCAATTCAACTTTTATTTTCAGTAACATACAAATATTTAATTATTCGAATTTAATTATTAATATTATTTCATTTTTCAAGTTGAATTTCCTTACCTTTTGCGCTGTCATCGAGGACTAAAACTTTATACATAGAATTTTAAGCTTTAAATTCTAAATAATAATTAATAATAATATTAATAACAACAACCCACAAGCCAATCTTGTGATTTGTGGGAAGAATATTAAAGTTTTTATATATAAAAATAAAAAATGGTCAGAATACATGAAATCTGTCAGACTCCGTGTAATTAGTGGGAATAAACCCGTTCCCTTCATCGCCGTTCGTACGATTCTTCTTCTCCGTTTCGCTGCAAAATATATCTTGGACGAAAGACTCAACATCTATTAAGTTATTTCCATCTGTGTCCTCCGTCGCTATTGCCGGCAGCGACGGCGGCCGGGGAATTTCCAGGACCAAATCCCAGTCAGTTCCTTTAAAGAAATTGTGGCTCTTGATTTCCTCCAGTTCGATCCTCCTCGTTGGATCTTTCTCCAGCAATTTCCTTATCAAATCCCTTAACGGTGTTACTTCGCCGCTGAGATCCGGCGTCTTTGTCAGTATTCGGTAGAACGTTTCTTTCCGATTTGATCCTCTAAACGGCGTCGTTCCGTATAGCATCTCGTACAGAACTACTCCGAGCGACCACCAGTCCACGGCGAAGTCATGCCCCTTCCCGGAGACTATCTCCGGCGCCACGTACTCCTCTGTTCCGACGAACGAGTTCGACTTCTCCGATGAGTCGGATTCCGACGAATCTGGCGGAGATTTTGGCTTATTGGCCGTCTGTTGGTCTGAATCTTCCGGCGACACGCCGGAGTTGCAGAATCGGTGAAAATGAAAGAATCTTTTCTTCTTGCTTTTTTTCTTAATCGTCGATCTAGATTCCGTCAAAACCTCCACCGACGGCAACAATAACGGAGACGATTTAGGAGATTTCTGAGAGAGCCTCGTGGACAGATCAAAATCTACAAGCATTATGTGGCCGTTATGTTGAACCATAACGTTGTCCGGCTTTAAATCTCTGTAAACTATTCCTAGGCTGTGTACATACTCCAACGCCATAACTAATTCCGCCGCGTAGAATCTAAACAAACAAAAACACAAACAGAAACACAATCACAATCACAATCAGAAACAGAACCACAAATCAATTTCACAAAACAGAGATCAAATCAATTTACCTAATAACGTCATCGGAGAACATTTTCTCGGTCTGTTTCTTCCTGAGAGTATTAAGATCTCGTCCATTGCAATAATCAATGGCGTAACCAACAACTTTCTTCGTATCCAAAACTCCTCGCAATCGAGGCAAAAGCGGATGCCGAAACTGACGTAAAACTTCTCGTTCAAAGCAAACTCTGCGATACTCATCGGCATCGCTATTCACAATCTTAGCCTTCCTCTCGATCAAATCTCTAGAAATCACCTTCAACGCCAGCCATTCGCCATCGCCGTCGTCATCGTTCGCATTTCGAGCCAAGAACACAACTCCTTTCGCTCCTCGACCGAGCGCCGTTACGACTTCCAATTTCTGAAAATCCAAATCAGGAATCTGCTCAGAGTTATGATCTTTCTTCACATCATCATCGATCATGGCGGAAAGTGAAGATCATTCGGGTGCGGCGTAATCTGCCGAAAATGAAGGACGTGTTTCGATTTTATATCTGACCGAACAACCCTGGCCTCTTGAGAGCGATTTTCTTGGGGACGAAGTCTTTTGGAATTTACTGTAATTAATTTAATCACAAATGGGCTTGACGGTAATTTCATATTCCATCACCTGTGCCAGATGATGACACGTGGAAATAAATGACGTGTCGTAATCTGGTAACAGAAAGCGTGGTGGAAATGACGTTAGGGATGATGTAAAAATACGGAGAACGTGATGGTTTCCGTGAATCTCCAAAACCGCGCTTCTAGAAACTCCCAAATTTTAATAAATAAATATAAAATAAATTCAAATTCTTGAACATAATAAAAGAATAATTTAATTTTTAATGGGTAAAAAAATGATATATTTTTTAAAATGAGAAAAAAAAAAGAATAATTAATTATTTATTTATTTGAATTTGGAAAAGGAGGTTAGTTGGCGGTTAAATTGGAAGACTTTTAACATTAAAGTAAAAGTGTGGTTGTTCTAGATGCTAGGTGTGGTCACGCTACTCTTGACTTTTTCATTAAAAATTAATTTATATTTTAGTTCAAATTTATATAAATATTAATTAAATTATAAATCAATTTAGACGTTATGTTTTAAATAATTGTCGTTACATAATTTAAAATATCTAGTAAGATTTGACGTATGAACCGTTTCAAAATAAGAGTACAATTGAGCATACTTGCTTAATCCATCACACTTTAGGTGTGTGAAAGTTCTCTATTTATAATTAAATAAATTACAAGCATATGAAAATAGTAATAAATGGTAGAACAATATACCTAAAGATACCAATTATTTAAATATTTGTCTTTAATAAAATATTATGGTAAATTATAATTTAGTATTAAATATCCTGGATTAAATTGATATAATTATTAGTTTTAAAAAAATAAAATTTCTCTATTAATTATTTATTTCTAACCCTAAAAAAATAATTTTACTATTTCTCTATTAATTATTTATTTCTAACCCTAAAAAAATAATTTTATGGTAAAATTTTACACATAACTAGAAATTAGTTTCGCAACGTTTTGGTTCGTTGCGTATCGTTGTCAGTATCATGATTTTTAAAGCGTGTAACGACCTAGATCCACCGCTAGCAAATATTGTCCTTTTTGGGTTTTCCCTTTCGGGCTTCCCCTCAAGGGTTTAAAACGCGTCTACTAGGGGAAGGTTTTCACACCCTTATAAATGGTGATTTGTTCTCCTCCAGAACCAATGTAGGACATCACAAAGCGAGTATGTTAGAGAGAGGTTTCCATATCATCCCCTTTCGGACCGAGGTGGGATCTCACAAAGAATCTGGTAGAGTATCATTAGCTCGAGTTGGAAGGGCGAGAAAGGGGAAGGGCATTTTGGTAATTTAGGAGAAGGAAGCATATTTGAAATGGCCTTTTCCGACCGAGGTGGGATCTCACAAAAAATCTGGTAGAGTATCATTATCTCGAGTTGGGAGGGCGAGAAAGGGCAAGGGCATTTTGGTAATTTAGGAAGAAGGAAGCAGTATCATGATTTTTAAAGCGAGTATCTTAGAGAGAGGTTTCCACATCGTCCCCTTTTCGACCGAGGGGGGATCTCACAAAGAATCTGGTAGAGTATCATTAACTCGAGTTGGGAGGGCGAGAAAGGGCAAGGGCATTTTGGTAATTTAGGAAGAAGGAAGCATATTTGAAATGGAGTCCATTTGAGACCACGCAAAGTGGGAAAATACCGAAATTATTCCAAGCTTTTTTCACTTTAAAAGATTCGTATTTATGTATATTTTCCAACATCCACCAATCTACTCATTGCCTACCACCATCCACTGCTAATATTCCATACTTATTTTATTTTTTAATTTAATTGATTTTTTTCATTAATTTTTTATTTAATTTATATTTTTCACTATCGTTATCGAAAAGATCTCTCTGAAAAAGCTTTGTTCGATGCGTTATGTTCTTTTTTCGATGCCTTAACGTTCGAGAAACGCTAAATAAATCAAAGTCGATCGTAAATTAATTTTAAATTATTAAGAAATTATAGTATTTGGGAGAAAATTGTTTTAATAAAATAGACTTTTTATAAGCCCAAACTTATCAAACCCAAATGAATTTCAAGTCCAAAGGTTAGGTCAAGCCCATAAGGGCACCAAAAGCTCCATAAATGGAAGGGCTACCCCTCATTTCGGCCCTTCGTGGTTGCATTGTTGTCTCGTTCCCGTTCGCATAACAAAGTCTTCTCTTCTACCTTCGATTATTAGCCGCAAACTTGCACTTAAAAAAATCGAACCCAACCCAACCCAAAAAGAGAGGGTTAGGTTAAGTTGGGTTGGATTACGCATCCAACCACAATTGGTCTAAAACAGAATTTCCTAATCCAACCGGATTTAACTTCAAACATCGCACATGATATCTTTTTCTAATATGAATTGTTCATGATGTTTTTTTCACGTGTAATAATCAATATCAACTTAGATATAATGTGGTCGACCTAATGAAACATCGCTCGAACCACCTTTCAACTCTATGGTTCAACATCCACCCACTCGGCTAACTCGGAAGATCTTCAGTTATCGATGTAAATTCTGACACACTAGCCACCAGACCAATGCCCACGTGCAAATACAAATATTAAATTAAACTTTTATATCAAATATTAATTAAAAAAATCAATTTAAAAAAAAAAACAAGATTCAAATTAGATATTTTAAAGGTGGAGTATAATTTGTCAAAATAATAATAAATAAATAAATAAATACAAATGGGTAAAAAACGTGTGAGCAATAAGCATAAGAAATAATATTAATAATAAATAAATAAATAAAAGGAATAATATAGAGTTACCTTATCCATTGCAGATAGCCAAAAATTAAAATGTCAGAAAAAAAAAAAAAAAAAAAAAG